GCTGCTCATGTTAAGAAATACAAAACAGCCTGTGAGAACATTATGATTCATGCTAATGAACTTATTTTTCAATTCATTAAAGAACTTTTACAGTTACCTACCCGCTTAAAAAATTTACAACATTATAATCAGTGATATCAAAATGGGTACTGTCATCGCGTAAAATGAATAATACTGCCGTTCTTCGCATGTCCGTCCCAAGGCGAAAATCAGCAAGCCGATAAAATCGCATTTTAAGCTTGATTCGTACCATTGCTTCTTATGTGGTGAGAAAACCAATTTGGCTGTCTTTCCAAATCAGAAAAAGTTGTTCCATAGCTCATCCTGTGCTATGGAAATATGGATGATTAGCTACACTTTGCAATGAAAAACTTAGTAAGTTAAAGTATACTAATGCCACTCACTTTTGTTTTCCTTGATTTGCTTTCCGTCTATCTTGTTTTCCGTACTGAGTACCAATTCTACCGACGCCAGGGAGGCAGCTCCCACACCTGGACCCTACCTATCGACCCATCACAACTCATAAACCGGGGACCAACGGCTGTACTTTCCTTCCGAAGGAAGACATGATCAGAAATTTTATGCCTCAGAAAATTCCGGCGGCGCCGACTGGGATTGAACCCAGGGGGAGAGGCAATCGCGCTTACCACTACACAACCGGCGCCACTGAATTTGAATCATATTTGAGTTCCTTTCACACAAATTCGCAAAATCGCAGGTCACTTAAGAACTGAGTAAAATTTTCCTGGGTTTTCTAAGAAAAAACTTTTCGAATGTGAAGAAAATCGAAAGAGGTTTCACTCATTCCATTAGCATAGAGGTAACTCTAAGACCAGAAGGTCCCGAAGAAACGAGCTCAACTTTTTGGCTCAACTCTGGTACTATCTTCGGTCCCAAGCTAATCGATGCACCCCTCGAAACATAGGAAAATCTACGAACCCCTCATTTTATCTGTCAAACTTTCATAGCGAATCAAAACAAACATAGTGTAGTACTAGAATGTCGACTAGCATGGGGTCCGTTAATCGTTTGCTTGGGACCAATAGGCTAGTCAAGTAGTGAGCCAATTTAAAATCGTTAGCTTCCACCGTTTGCTATTAGTATCTCTTACACTGAGTAAAATTTTTGACGATTTTCTTCATATTCGAGCAGATTCGAGAGGAAAAGGCGAGGAGGATGACTCAATCTACAATGCAGGAAAGATTTTGTTTTAGTGTGGTTCGCTGCGCGTACGTTGAGTAGAAAGAAAGAAGATTGAAGACGATTTGAAGATGTCCTGCAAAAAGATGCTGTGTGATGCATGTAGATGCGAGAAATGAAAGAAGATTTCTCGTAGATTGATTGATTGATAAGGGTGTGATTGATCTCACACTAGATTTTTCGAGCATCTAGAATTGAGATTTAGATTTGAGGAACATGTATTAGAAAGTCTATGAGTGATCAACGTTTTTGTAATTATGAGTGAAAAACCACTCAATTTTGAGTCGATCTTATCGGTCGTGCATTAAAATTCCGATTAGGCCCTTCAGACTATTACCAACAATCAATACGAAACTAACGATTTTAAATTGGCTCACCACTTTAGTAGCCTATTGGTCCCAAGCAAACGATTAACGTACCCTATTCTAGTCGAAATTCTAGTACTACGCAATGTTTGTTTTGATTCGCTATGAAAGTTTGACAGGTAAAATGAGGGGTTATTGGTTTTTCCTATGTTTCGAGGGGTGAATCGATTAGCTTGGGACCGAAGAGAGCACCAGAGCTGAGCCAAAAAGTTGAGCACGTTATTTCGGGACCTTCTAGTCTTAGAGTTACCTCTATGCTATTACTATGCTTCTATGGTAACTCTAAGACAAGAAGGTCCAGAAGAAACGATTGATGTTTTCTGATCAACCGGAAAGAAAACACTGTCTCTTTCTTCTTCATCAGTTCTTTTTTTTTTATCTAGTTCGTTTATTTGTAAGGCTCAATCGTGTTAGCTTTACGGAGCCGATAATTCATTGTTCTTTGTTTGTAACAAAATGCACTTGATTCTATGTCTAATAGGAGTTGGGCCGAATACTCGCGGCTCACCTGAGGTTAGTGGGGTACATTGTCGAAGGATAAGAAAAGAGGAGGAGCTTGGGGGTAGGGTTACGTTGTCTCATCAGAACGATGTCGCCAGTATGAACGGTAGTGTGGTTCTAGATTCGTCTGGAGTTCGACCGGTTAGGGTGACCAGTGTCATCAGTTCCTAAGCGAGAAGTGTAAGTGACGTCAACAATGTGGTTACGTATGAATGATAAGGAGCTAATAAGAAGCGCGATTTCACATGCCGGACTTCTGTAGATCGCGGGTCATCTTCGTTAGACCTAAGGTGCACCCATTTATAGACCCAATATGAATACAGTAAACCGACGTAACATCCACGTACCTGGAGAAATTTCATATTAAAATAGTGAGTTTTACCATTTTTCGTCGTGCCTAATTAATATCCAAATAATAAGGATATCTATGTTGACATGTTGACAGAGAAAAATCTTTTGAAGCTCAATTATTTAATAATATAAGGCATAAAATGTAATTGAAGGCTTCATATTAGACATAATACGGGATATGTACCCTATATTGAAAAATATCAGACACCAAAAAAACGATATCCAAAACTGGCCGAATGTTGAGTGTGAATGATTGCCCATAACGAAAAATTATGCAAAGCTTCATGAAAACCGGAGGAAGTCGGGTGAAAATTTATTGTTTGCTATTTGGCCTAGAACCATGGAAGTAACTCTAAGACTAGTAGGTCCCGAAGAAACGTGCCCAACTTTTTGGCCCAGGTACTATCTTCGGTCCCAACACGGTTAGAAAAAAGTACCCAACGGAAAGTTCACTTTTACCTACTTTTGACTAGTTTGTCTCCTTTTCTCCTTTTAATGTTGTCAAAAACGGAGGAGCAAAACCACCCAACAGGGGTAGTAAAGTGCACAGCAAAAAAATAATTTTGATATCACATCAAAGTGGATGCACTACAATCATGTCGAAAATTTCATGTAATTTTTATGACCACATAAATAAACAAATGCAGTAAAAGCAGCGTAATGTCAATTCATGCATTGTATTAATGATAATTTTGTCCTTTTTAGCAAGTAATAAATGCATCCACTTTGACGTGATATCAAAATTATGTTTTTGCTGTGTGTGGGAACCCAACGTTGAGTATCATCATATTTACCTACTGTTGGGTACAACTAACTTACTTTTGGTTAAAAAGCCAGAGGAAAATTCCATACGAACTGCACACAAGTAAATGAAAATTACTTTGACCCGCTTTACCTACTTTTAGGTTCCCGCACTATAGTGCCGAGATGAGTGAAAAGAACTTAATTTTGGGTACTTTTTTCTAACCGTGAAGTTAATCGATGCTCCCCTCGAAACATAGGAAAATCCACGACCCCCCCATTTTATCTGTCAAACTTTCATAGAGAATCAAAACAAACATAGTGTAGTACTAGAATTTCAACTAGAATGGGGTATGTTAATCGATTTGCTTGGGACCAATAGGCTAGTCAAGTAGTGAGCCAATTTAAAATCGTTAGTTTCCACCGGTTGCTAGAACTGCTCTCTGTTTAAATCCATTAAGGTGATTCCTTGAAGAGTCCAAAGATGGCCGTCATGATGGGTGATATGCCCTATCTCTTCAAGCTTTCTATAGCACAAATCTCGGACACTGTTGCGTCACCGCTCATGAAATTGGAACTCCCTGTTTGCTTCACTGAAGCAAAAGTTATGTTCCAGTTTCCTTGTTGAATGTTTCATGAGAGCTGATATTTATATATAAAGCTGGAATTAGGGTGTAACAGCTTTGGTAAATAATGACTTCTCTCGATAATTTCTAGGAATTCAAGGCACGCCTACGCAAACAAACATAACCGTTGGATAGGGAAAGTCTAGATTTGCGTTGGCCAAGTTGATTTGCGCTGGCGAGCCTTGACTTTTTAGAAATCATCGTAAGAAGTCATTGTTTACAAAAGCTGTTACGCACTAATTCCAGCTCTATCAAGATTCGTGCTCTTGAAATTGCGAGGTGAAAATAAGATAAATCAGACATAAAGCGTCCACAGCGATTCACCTTAGGCGTCGACTGCCATGCGGCTCCAAATGATGCAAACTAACCCAGCACAGCCGTAGGCACAATCCATCATTTGCTAACAAGGCTAATGAACCTTACTTTGCGAAACAATCCGGTCGAAAATGTCGAGCTTCTCATCTGGAAATTTACCCTTTCCAGAAATTCATGAAAGACCAACTTTTCAGCAACATGCAAGCGAGAAGCAGAAACTTTCACCCAGTCTTTGTAACATCAAGTTTTAAGTTGGCTCCACCGGGTGTCCAGAGCAGTTTTCTTTCCCGCCTTAATGAACCACGAATGCTTTCTAGGGAAAGGCACACAACTACCAGCGAGCGTGTCAATATTGACGAAGGCAAACACACAATTCCAAGAACGAACAAACTCAGCGCTTGAAATCTTAAACTAACCGAAGAAAAGAATGCGAAAGAAAATAGTTGCTCTAAATCAAAATTTAAAACAGGAGAAAAAGTGATTTCACACAGCGCAGCAGGGAAGTGATGATGAATAATGAGAACAGCGAACAAACAAATTATGATTCAATCGAGGTGAAAAAAGAAGTTTCCACTTTTAATTAACAATAATCTTGCAATTCGCGCTCCCTCGCGCGCTCTAGCAGAACTGAATCGATATTGATGAGAGCGAGAAAAAAAATTCACTAACTATGCATAACTACTTGCTAGGTTGCGGGTGAGTGAAACCAGTGTGAAGGAAGATAATAGATCAACTTTAACATGTACACCTAAGCTTAAACACAAACAGCCAAAATCACACTTGCTCTAACTTAGGATCTACTATTACACAAACAAACAAAAAAAAAGTTTCTTAAACTACGTAAAACACACAAAAAGCTGGGCAGGCAAAGACTGGCTTAAAAGTGACGGTTTCTGGGTGAATAAACAAATGATTTCGAATCTAACCTAGATGAACACCTGCCCGTCTTCGGAGGCATTCGACAGGGATAGCTGGATCTTCACGCTCGGGTGGGCCGGAATGGTCCGGATGCAGTCTTTGGCCGGCGTGACCGGGAAGCGCAACGGGCCGGTGTACTTCCGCGAAAGGCCCATCGTCTTCGGAGGCGGCAGGGATTTCGGTTGCGTTCGGTTCGATCCGTACGATAAGGTCGAAGACGAAGACGACGACGAGCTGGACACACCGGGATAGGAGGAAATTGGACTGACCGAGGTCGGTTTGGTGTAGGCTTGGAGGATCTGGAATTTGAGACAATTGATGGAGGGTTTGAGTTAGTGTTGATGAATGGAATAAAGGTTAAGGGAAACAGGGACGCCAGATTGTGATACTTGGATGTTCATTTTTCCTTTAGAAAGTCTGTGCGAATAGAAACAAGTCAGTGAATCTGGCTCCGCTGGTGGAAACTACCTTTGGCAGATCGGGCATGCTCTTGGAGGGGGACAGCATTCCAGGCGGGCCACCGCCGTGGCTTTCGTTGACTCGGTTTCTTGTGCGCAGAATATCCGCGACATTTTTCGTGTAACGGTGTTGATTTAAGGATGTCTTCCGATCGTCCTGTTGGCTCTGACTATGTTGGTGGTAGAAGGATCGAATGGCATCGAAGTGATGTCCTATATCGTCGTAGGTTTTCCCATTGACCGCTGGACTCTTCCGCGGATGCGTGGATTGCTGCTGCTGGTTTTGAGCACCGTTCTTTATGTATAAGCTGTTGGATTTGGAAACGGATGCGGTGGCCATTCGAACCGCGTCCAGCTTCGATGGGTACAGATCATCATGACCGATCTTGTTGATACTGTTGGTCGATTGGTGGATATTCAAGCGACTCGAGCTCAGTGCAGGTCGCACGTAGATTTGCGACAGGACCAACTCCACCGTTCGTCCCGTGTTTTGTAGAATCGTCAGGGATTCGCTGTAGGGCAGATTCAGCAAAGACCGACCATCAACGGCAATTATCTGAAAATACATTTTGAAAGTTACGATCACGCTTCTTCGAGAAAATGTCAACGATTGACAAACCTGATCCCCGATCCTAACTCCCGCTCTGGCTCCCGGTCCATTTGCCACCAAGTCCTTAACGTAAACATTGTTATCCGATCCTTGCACGATACTAATCCCCAAGGTGTACCTCGCACCCCGACCATCCTCTCCACTACTTCCACAATCCGCAATTCCACCGTCCGAACTCAGATCATCCCCGCCGAAGGTCATCAATCGGGAACCACCGTTCCGGAACAGCACCGACTCCTGGCTTCGTGACAGGAAAGATCTTTTCCGAGCCAGCATGCTCGCCTTAGCCTCCGCCTGACTCCGCTTCTCGTTCGGATTTATGAAATCTTTCACCACAATGACCGACGTTAAGATCCGATCGTTGATCGTCGCACTGCAGCTCAGGTTGTTGAACTTTTCCAGCAACGTATCGGAAATTGTCTCATTGGGCACCTCAAAATGTCCACTTTCGCTGCGGATGCTTGATTCTGCAAATTTGAAAATATCAGTTAACCAATTCACGATCTTCCCATCATCAAAAAATACTCACGAATTACACACGCTTTTGGTGACAACGTCTCCTCACTTCCGCCCACAGACTTCTCCTCAATCTTCTCCATAAAATACACCGATCCCATGCTGCTCTTCGTCGATACCGCGTCGTCCACACTGCTCTCGATCAGCAACGGATCAACCTTCTTCTCGTAGCCCACATACAGTTCATCATCCTCGTTGAAACTACTGTTCGCTAAATTCTGAATGGAGTTAGCTCCACTCAGCGCTCCACTCCCGATCCCAGCCTGCTCGTACAGGTTGTCATAGGACTTGTTCAGAAACTGCGCCGAAAACACCCTCGTTCCCATTTTGACCCGATTCCGATTGACGCTGGGCGTCTTCGGGGAACAATCCGGTGACATGCTGATCCCGCTCGGCCCGACCGGATCCGGGTTTTCGTTCTCCTTGTTCTGATTCTGCTGGTTTGCGATCTCGACGGATTGGTTCAGCGCTGGTTGCGGTCCCTCCACCGTGGACTTGGACCGCTTGATGAGAAATTTCTGGCGAAGCTTCGCCAGCCGGTTATCGTTCAGCATGGATTTCTTGAGGTTCCGAACCCGAAGACCCGTGGATTTGAGCGGTTTGTCGATCTTGTCCACGTGCTTGGCGTCGAAGGCTGCCTTCTCGTCGACATCGGCCACGTCCAGCTTGGGTTTGGTGGGATCAATGGCGACGGGGCTTGGCCCGACACGGGTGGGCTCGGCGATCGGAATGTTCAGCTCGTTCGACAGGGCTTTGATTGAGACGAATGAGTTCCGCAGCTTCATGTAGAACTTGTGATGCTCTGAGGCTAGGTTGAAGGCGAAGAAGCTCCTGGAAGAAAAGACGATAATAGCGGATTAGTTTGATAGCGGTTTGTGAGATAAATCCGCTAGACATTTCTATCGATTGACAACTACTTTGTATTTTTCATAAAATTCATCCATCCATCCATTGAGCAGTTCCACGCCAAATGGCGAATCGGAAAAACTCGACCTTTGCCAATTTGCTTGAAACTTTGCCCAATTGTTTGTAATGAACAATGATTCAAAGTTTTCCTCAAATTTGGCCATTTTGGATCGTGTCAAAAAGTTCAAAAATTTGGCAAAAGTTTTTGTTATACGATTTTCGTAAAGATATTTGAGTACAGTCAACTCTCCACAACTCGCTGGATTCTGCGGTCCCTTCGTACTCTCCATAAGTCGATGTTTCTACAAGTCGATGCCTCCTTTGGTCGAGAAGATCTATGCAGTGTTATTTTGATTCTATAAATCTATCTGTCAAACGTAGAGCTCTGCATTCTGTGTTGTTGATGTTAGAATCACAGGAGCTTTAAAAACATGATAATTGGTGATTATATTGAGTACCCAGGACCACATCAAAACATGTTCCTCGGGGCTATTCCTGGCCCCATAGAAATTCAATAGATAATTCGGAGAATTTCATAGAATTATAGGAAGCGTTGCAAAAATTCGGGAACATTTCGTGGATGCGGAAGATATGTACCGTCAACTTTCGCTCGTTGGGCTAAACCTGTAGCCCACTTAGTGAAAGACTTTCGTCAGTTGGGCTGAGCTGTCAAGCTGAAAATTTGTTGAGAGATACACCGATTGTCTATTGTCATCACAATCCCTTGGCAGCTATCCAAATTGTTCATACATGAGCCCCTCGAAAAAGAAATAACACGGTCAAAAATGACGTTTGACTTGGATTTAGGTGGGCTACAGCCCAACTAACGGGAGACCAACTAAAACGTAGCCCACCTAAACATAGCCCAACGAGCGAAATTTGACTGTACAAGAATTGAAATTTTGATGAAGTTGGGGAAACCTAGTTATTATCAGACCATCTTTTAATTTCAGGGCACTTCGTTAATATTTAATGGACTTTAAAAGTTTAGGAATTACCGTCGAAGCCCAGGAAACTTTAAAGAACTTGTAGGAGCTCCACAGAAAATAAACGAAATTCATAAAAAGTTCAGGAAACTTTGTGAACTGCAGTCAGCTCCATAGAAGTTCAGCGAAATGTGTAGCAATTAGAAGAACTTTGTAAAACTTCATGGAAATGCAAGGAATTTTGTGAATGTTCAAAGATCTTCGAAAAACTTCGGCAAACTTTGTAGAAGTTCAGGGAATTTAGTAGAAGCTCAGCAAGCAGGAACTTCAATTTGTCAGATAATTTATTTCAATAAGCTCACATGCTGCTAGTGTTCTCTCTGTTGCTTCACTTGAGTGGCAGCTATGTTGCTGCCATCGGTGAGGCCTGCGATAAAGATAGGGTAACCGGCAGTGTTGCCAAATCCATTTATGTTGTCTGCAACATCTTCCCTCTTAATAGAGCTGGTAGGGGTCAAACCATCGAGGCTGCCTTCGAAGACGGGAAGACCGTCGAGTTAGAACTTCTACCGGTTCGGTTTCAGCTGCTAACTCGAACTCAGTTCATGTTGATGCAGCTGCTGTTGAAGAAGACATTGATGACCTCTCGATGACGGCGGCAGCTACTGGGCGTCATCAGATTTGCAGTTGATGCTGAGCTAGAGACTGGTGATGATGGTGATTGAACAGGCTCTTCCGGTGCAAGCGACGACGGTTGCTGAGGTAGGTTTCAGGTAAACATCAGGACGTTCATCGGAAATGAACTCTGTGAGCTCACGGCTCGTCTGCCTGGTACCTTGATCTGTTTCCCGTCGATCTTGTTTTCCGTGCTGAGCACCAATGGTACCGACGCCAGCGAGGCAGCTCTCACACCTGGACCCTACCTATCGACCCATCAACTCATGAACCGGGGACCAACGGCCTTACTTCCCTTCCGAAGGAAGGCGTGATCAGAGATGTTATGCCTCAGTTATGCCGACTGGGATTGAACCCAGGCCTGCTGGGATTAGAGGTAATCACGCTTACCACTACACCACCGGCGCCGCTGTGTCTTCTTGGTAACTTGGCTTTCGAACTAGTGGGATTTCGACTACGCAACTGGTTGACGTGCAAGCCCAGCTTCCGAGTATCAATCCACACGATTCTCTCGAGACGTATGCCATGTACCCATTTCCAGGTGTTTTTGGTGTACACCTTGGCGTAGACAGCATCGTCACGGTTGAACGATCGTCGCTTCTGTTCTTTCTGCTCTTCTGTAACTGCCATGGGCGGCATACCAACTCAAGGCTGGTTCGGAATTTACGGCCGAACAGAGCCCCTGACGGAGTCTTGTGTTTTGGTACAGAGTGATTTGGCGTGCTCCTGTACGTGAGCAGAAACGTATCGATTGCTTCATCCATTGTTCCTCCCCCTTCTCGGATCTTCTTAACGGCCCTTTTGAATGTATCCACGAACCGGTCTGTTTGTCTGTTTGAGGATGGATGGAATGAGGCTGTCGTGACGCCATACTCCGCACTGGTGAATTGTGAACCGTTGTTCAAAACCAGTGTAACCGGCATCCCCAGTCGAGCGAAGAGCCCACGCAAGATGGGAATTGTGGATATCGAGGTAATGCTGCGCGTTCTGACAATCTCAGGCCACTTGGAGTAGGAGCCGACGACGATTAAGAAGTAGTCGCCATTGATTGGTCCGCCCAATCTGTTTAGCATGAAGAGGAGACTTCGGAACGGACGCACACTGCGCAAATGCCTCGACGTAACCAACGATGTCATCGCTTTAATCCAATGCATACCCGCATGGCCTCGATGAAGCTGATCCAAGCATCTTTGTTGGGGTTTCGATGGACTGACAAGTTGTTCGGCAAACAAAACGCACCCATCGACTACGGTGAAGGATTCCTGTCTGGCTTGGAATCGTTTAATCTTCGGTTCGACTAGCTTAAATTGCGGCCAGCCGTTTTGGTTGTACCGGTAGACCATGCGTAGAAGTGTTTCGGCCTGGGTGCTTTGCGCGACGACGCAGAAATTTATGGGGAAGAACATTAAGCGAATTCGTGGCTACTGACCTGACATCTTCCTCCAGTGTGATGTAGTCCTCTTCTGGCTTCGCATGTTGACTAATCAGCCCGGACAGCTGCTTCTCAGTCGGAACGTACTCGATGTCGAAATCTTACAGAAGTAACGTCAGGGCAAAACGTTGCAACCGGTTAGCCGTATACTCCGGAATACCTTTCTTGAAGTCGAAGATTCGAATCACTGGACCGTAACGGGTTTGAAGGCGGAGGCCCCGACCGAAGATCATTTTGTGAAACTTCGTAACTGCGAAGATGATGGCTAGACCTTCTCTATCAGGGCAACTGTAGTTCTGCTCCGGCTTGGTGAGTACTTCAGAGGCGTACTACACCACCTTGATGGAGCCATCGGGATTCTTATGACTAAATTTGAATCCGGGACCGACTGATCTCCTTCTTCTCGATCGAAGTGTGTAAGTAGTAGGTCCAAGGTGAGAATCTGCTTGAATCGGTCGAACGCCTGTTGACACTCCGTGTTCCAATCAAAGTTTGATTCTGGTTTGAAGAGGTTTGCGAGGAGATAGCGGAGCGCTTGCATATTAGGCACGAACTTGTCAAAATAGTTAATCGCGGCAAGGAGAGAGTGCACACCGGATACGTCCGAAAGAGAAGGAAGCTTGCTTATTGCCACGACGAAGTCCACCATCGTGCATGATGTGTCCGAGATAGCGAATTTGTCGCTTCCCAAATGAACACTTATCAGCTCGGATCGTGCATCCGAAGTCTTGAATTCGCTGAAGAACGGCTCGGAGATTGCGGTCATGATTTTGCTGGTTCTCAACGCCCACAACAACGTCATCAAGATAACTGTATATACCTGTTAGATCAGCTAGCATCATGTCGATGAGTTGCTGGAAAACTCCAGGAACAATTTTCACACCCGGTGGAAGGCGTTTGTAGTTGAGGCGTGTTGATAGTGAGTAAACTCTGAAATGTTTCATCTACCGGTACCTGTCTGAACTGCCAAGTGTTCGCTAGCTTGGCGAATATACCTATCTTCCGGTAGAGACAACGGGTACTGGTACAATTGCAGAGCGGAGTAATCTCCGCAGATCCTGATTGCTCCATTCGCCTTGCGCACGACAACTATAGGAGCAGCCCACTCCGAGTAATCGATCGGCGAAATGATCAACAGCTTCTCCAATCTGTCCAATTCCTGTTTAGCGGCATTATCCGTTTGGGACAAAACACGGGTTTACAGCTTGTGTTCAGTTCGACGGTACTGACCAGAGATCGAAGCTGTCCACCAAGTCGAATCCTTGAAGCTGCAGTGGTTTCTCCGTCACACCGCATCCTTTTGTTTCACCGATGGTAACGTTGGACAAGAACTCGCCATCAAGCGCCCATCGCCTTGACCGTCGATGGACCCAGCTCCGGACTTCCGATCTTCTCCCAAATTTGCTTGCTGATGACCGTGATGTCCGAGGCGGTATCGAGTTGCAGCTGAACCAACGTCCCACATAGGCTTACGAGCACGGACCTCCTCATTGAAGGCTGGCGTGCTTTGATCGCACTACTACATAGCCTTCTCGATGTCCAAGCTGGCCACATTTGGAACACTTTTGCTACTTGTAGCCGCAGTTGCGAACATAGTGCAGTCCGTCACAAACTATTCACTATCGCTCAATGGATGGTCTGGGGACTCAAAGTAACGTTTTTTTTTATATACCTGATGCTGTACCTGTTCGAATGGAATCGGTGCTTCGATCATAGCGTTAGACCCGGTGGAAACAAACGACTTTAAATTGGCTCACTGCTTGACTACACACTTAGAAATTATCGCCGACTTCGGCAATTTTTACCGAAATCTGAACAGCTGAACTGTTCGGTAAAATTTATGCAATTCAATTAATTTGCTTTTCAGCTTCTTTGAAACTACATCTCCACTA